TCATGATTGATAAAATTAAGTTAACAAGGTTTTTTATAATTTGATCTTTTTTTGAAGTTCTAATAATTAATTATAATTTTCTTTTTCATGTAACATAAAGAAGAAATGTTACGTACCATTATTTTTTTTTTCATTACAGTCTTCTTTGTATTGGTTTTTTTTTGTACCATCGAAACAACATTTCTCAATTTAAGAAGTTTTTATAACTTTAAACAAAAACAAAGTTTGTTTGTATCAGCTTGGGATCGGCTTGGACAGTTGTTATTACAATAAAAAAAATGCTAATTACTGCTGATTAATGTTGATGGTACTGAATTTTGATATATATGTTTTAATTATAATTATGCATACACAATAGTCTTGAAAACTTGTAATAAAAACATAATCAAAAGAATGTGTCCATAGTACATGGATGCCCCACTCGCACTATCATTTTCTATGTTCAGTGGACTGTGAAATTGGGGTCAAAACTATAATTTGGCACTAAAATTAGAAAGATCATATCATAGGGAACATGTGTACTAAGTTTCAAGTTGATTGGACTTCAACTTAAGCAAAAACTACCTTGACCAAAAAACTTTAACCTGACTTGACCAAAAACTTTAACCTGAAGCGGGACAGACAGACAGACGGACAAATGGACGGACAAACGCACAGACCAGAAAACATAATGCCCCTACTACTATCGTAGGTGGGGCATAATAATTATTTTATACTGCATAATCATCCATTCTAATCTAAGGTGATAAATTTATTTGAATTCACAAATATTTTATATTAAAATAATATTATACATCTATATGAAATCTTAATATACATGTAAATATTTATAAAAATATTCCAATAAACATCTCATCTAGTGAAAACTAATTATTTAAATATTTTTCAAAGGCACACTTTTTCCCGTCCACCTTTTATATTATTATAAAATTCATAAACATTTATGTATTACGATACATATATTTTTTTTAATTGGGGCCGGATCAACTTTCAGGGTAGAATCTGTTTTGGCGGACACCGGAAGTTGGAAGATGCACAATTTATGACCAATAACCCCAAATTGCGTTGCTATGCAAGAATATAAACAGCGGCCATTTTTGTTTACCGCTTCAAAAGAGGATGATGCAAATGATGTTTTAAAGATCGTTTTAAACTCTGGGAACTGAAAAATTTAAAATAAATTTACTGTACTTACCCATTTAAGCTTGAAAAAACATCCAGACTAGAATTTAAAGTGTTTGTAATTTCGTGCAGTACTCTTGGTTTTTTAGTAGCAGGATGAGATTCACTGATAGTAATAGTTTCTGTCGTAATCAATGTCTGTTTTTGTTCTTCTTGTTTATAAACTTTTTTGATAAAGGTTTATAAATGCTATAAATGGATCGTCAGAGCCGATTATATATTTTTTACCAACACAATATTGACTGAAATAAGTATCATAAAGGGATTTTACCGTGCCGTAATTTGGTAATGATTTTTTAAGTGTACGCCAGGTACTTTCAATGGTGTTTGTATGTGCTCCTGTTTCTGGGTCAACAAAATTTACAGAATGGTTAACTTTTAAATGCTCAAATGCCTCTGAACCTGGACAATCATAAGCTTTTCAACAGTCACTAATTATTGTTGTTCCCGGTTTTATATTGTCTTTAATTAATTTTAATAATGTTTCTTTAGTACGATTTTCCACTGTGGCAAAAAAACTTTATTTGCTGCCTCTTTCTATACCGCCAAACACCCACTGACCTCCTACATGACGCCCTTTGTGGTATTTTATTTTCCCAAATTTACTTTCATCTATTTCCACAATTACGCTATCACCTATTTTTTCACTGTCTATTTCCAAAATTTTTATACAGACTTCTCAGCAATAATTGTACCAATCTACGATTGTTTGGTTACAAATTGAATGTTCATGCTTCACAAATTCTTGGTCTATTTTCATGATTTTGTAAATCCAAACATACGTAATAAATAATATTTTTTCGAGACTTAAGTTATGTCCTTGAAACCAGGATCCGTTTCTGATAGAAGCCTTTTAACTGCATTTTTTGTTGCTACATTTCCAATAAAAAATGTAGTTTGAAAATGAACTGTCTTTCATGTCTTTCCTTAATCCAAAATGTTCATGGATACACTTTTTACATACCTCTCCAGATAAATCTAGAATTAATCCCAAAGAAATACACCACTGAATAATTTTCTCAATACTCTCCTGGGGTGTAGCTAGATCCATTTGAAGAGAACACCATTAAGGGGGGTTTTGGGAGGGCTTGCCGCCCAATATTTTTTTTTACTAGACGCAAAATGGTGCTTTCTGAGGGCCTTAAATTGGTTTGAAAAGCAAATTAGTAAGACTATTTGCTCAAACATCAGCAATTTTCAAAAATCTGCCCTCTGATTTCTAGCCACAACAGAAACGTCCATTGCCTTGTCTAAATTGACCTTTGGATGTGCATTAAACCTAAAATCGACAATCTTATCATTTTTCATTCAACGAGGAACGAATGTACGTTTCCAAACGGTTCAGTACGCTGAACGACCTTTCGGCGGTAGCACTAGCAACGGGCATTGTTAAGAGAACATACATTATTGTATCAATAGACGGATACAATGCAGGATTAACGATATCAAGCTTTTGACAGAGTGTTGTCTGTACTTTATCACTAGGAAGAAAATTCCCGCAAATAAAACAAAACCGATTTCGGTCAGGGTTGATTTTATATACGGGCATATTATTGTCGCAATAGTTATAGATTATAATATTTCATTTTCTAATTTGCAAGGTTTAAATTTTATATTGTTTTTCCTTTGTATTTTTTTTTTTTATTTCCCGGCGTCAATTATTTTTTTATGTGCATGCCATGGCATGACAGCATATATGGAGCTACGCCACAGCTCTCACAAATATTTAACAAATCTTTTAACTTGATCAACATTTTTGTTTGTACAATGCAATATTTGAAAACACAGCTGATTTTACGTTACAGTTGATAATTACATCACATATTTAATGAATATTCATGAGGTAGGGGTCACAGATCAGGGTTTAAGCTAGGATTTTGAGGGCTTTAGTCACTTTTGCGCGGGATGAAAATCAACCTTATTTTGGGTAGCAGCAAGGGACCTAGGATGTATATTACTATCTATACATCTTTGTCAGACTTTGAAGGACTTGGGCATACTAGGTAGTTACTGCATGATTTGACTGCTGTGGCACTTTAATACAAAGATTAGGGTATAAGATCTAGAAATCTAGTTCACAATTTCACTTCAGTTAGTTTGAGGGTACATTCCTTATCAGCAAAAGTTGGGATCCATTTTTTTTTAAACCAGGAATCACAGCATAAATGAGCTTGTAAGGACTATTTCACTGCATTATTCATCCTCATTATCCTTAAAAACGTTTTAAAGCGATATTTAGAATTAATTCTATAAAGTTGGAACCAAAAATTTGTACAAAGCCTTATTGGAACAATTCTAATGACTTTAAATTGTAAATTTATCATTAATAGATCACGTTTACTTTCGATTTCCAAATGAAATGAAAACGGGAAGTGACAAGTGGATAATAAATTCAGAAGGAATCCGGATTCATCTACGGATTGGTTTGTGTTTTTATTAAAAAGGCAGGAAATTATCATTTTTTAAATTAAATTTGCTAAATAAGATCTATATTTGTCTCTCTCGTTTAGTTTGATACTTAATTATTTCGTATTGTACGTTTTAGTGTCTTTAAATTCGTAAGAATACTTTCGCGCATGCGCAGTTTATCGTAAAGGAAGCACCTGTTTGACTCGTGAAAACATTTCTGAATGTTATGAATAAAGTTCTATCTTTTTGATCGAAATTGTCGAAAGTTTTTGATTAAAAGTTATATCAAATATGACGAAAATACGTTCATTTGACGAAACTACGACAAGCGAACTGCAAATTGTGATCGTTTGAGAAATATTGAAATTAAAATGCGAACTGTCCGAGGGAAAACCCAAATGATGAAACTACGACAAACGAACCGCAAATTGTGCTCGTTTGATAAATATTGAAATTGAAATGCTGACTGACTGATTTTACTGGGGAAAATAATTATGATGATCATGATGATCAATTATGAGGTTGATAAATAATTAACAGATTAGTGACCCATCCGATGGCGATAAGCGGATTATCTGTAATCACAACTTATAACACCTGTTGTAAATGTTAATTAGCTGAGGGTAATAAACTTGTCAGAAACAATAAGACAGGTAGAATTATAGTATTTTCATGCAGAAATATGTTTACACTTTCCAAATTTAAGTGACGAAATTGATTTGGAATACTTTCGTCATTTTGAAAACCGTTTCGTAAATGACGAAAATGACGAGCGCTAGCAAAATCACTGACAGATAATGGAATTTTTATCACGTGATACATGTATACCTACTTGCCTACCTGAGTAACGTAAGCGTGGACATTTTGTACACTTACCAAAACGTCTTTCTGCTAGATTTTGTAATTCTAATTTAAAAAACAGTTTAAAAACAGTATTTTAAACAAAACTTTACCCAAAGATTTTTGGGCTATTTATGTTTTTAACTTTTTGGCGTGACCAATCCTTATATATTAGTATTTACTAGTTTCCTGTACTTTTTAAGGGGTCCGCTAAAGTAGCAGTACAACTTTAAATATAGGGCCGGATTGACTTCGGCTGGATCTACTTAGGACTAGACGACATGGGACAGATCGACTTTGGGCCGGATGCATTATTCATGTGTTTTTTTTATTTCTTTTTTAACCAAAATGTTTCTTTTAGAACAATGCTATACATAATGAAACATCTGTGTCTAAATGCACACTGTAATTATATTTCAACCTGACAACAATAAATAGTCATGCAAGAACAAACCATTACACACATGATTTATGTGCTGGCTTGTAATGTCTAATGAGGTCAGTTTGAAATATATTATGTGACAGCTCTTGTGCATTTGTAATATGAATAGAAAAGTTTTGAAATCAACCTTGACAACATTGTCAGCTTCAGGAGCAGGTCCATATTCCATGCTCTTAAAGATTTCAGAAACAGAATTTTTTGGGGTTGTTTTCGTGTCAGCAGCCATCGTTGCTTTCTCGGACTTAGACGTTAGGTTAGAGAAAACATCGAAAAGTCACGAGCGTACGCATGCCTTCTACGTCATAACATGGCAGCCACCACTGAAAAAAAAATCGTTTAATTTTGGTGAGTATATCGCCGGTTTTTTGCCTGATTTAGACGTCCTTATGTCACAATATTATTGCATGCAAAAGTAAATTTTGTCTTTAAATCATAATCGAAGACGTTTCCCTATAGAAAGCCGATATCTTTCAGCTTAAACCGTAGTTACCACTTTCTCTTTGATCTGAGAAGTAATAAATTTGGAACTTTGATCCCTGAAGCAAAAAAAGAACTACTTTTTAATCAGTTAATACAGAACAATATTAAGTAGTTTGATAATACTTATCATGAAAAAACCCATCAAAACATTCTAAATGCATTTTTTAAATGATACAAAGATTGAGGGTATTCATTCATGCATGGACATGTTAAAACTTTGTTTATTGCATGTTTAAAAATGCTTACAATTGCCCTCCTGTTTGTTTACAGTCATCCATCCATTTAGTTGTAGGAAATTCATTAGTGAAGTCAAATTTCAAACATGAGTTGTTACACCACAATTAGATTTGAGCTTTAACTGGTCTGCATGCATGCCTGATATATGTAAATACAAATGTACCATGACCATGATGACTTGGAAAACAATAAAGAATTTTCCTAATAATTTTACATAACATAAATCTATAATAGTTATTAAATTTTAATTTGTAGGGCCCTTTATCATGTTTATAAATGTTTTATAGATGAAAATTTTACAAGACGTTACAAATTTGTTTGCATTGAACCTCCCATGCTTGGAGCCATTACATGTCGAAGAAGATTACATCATCATATAATTGTGTATAAAATTGATATAATATTAAAAAAAATCTTTCAGTGAGTATTTTCCCTTAAATAGTAAGTAAATTTTCAACTAACAATTAGATTTTAAAGTTAAAACAAATTGAACTGTCATTAATCATGTTAATCATGTGTTAATGTCAAATCAAGAAATATAAGGAGAAATGAAAAACAAAAATACAAATAGACACTAATGATAGTCAAGCATGTGCAAACATACATGACATATAAATAAAGATTTTTCTAGGTCTGTTTGATTTCAGGTGAAAAATTAAAGATATATGAGTTCGAATCCCTGCCAGGGAAGAACAAAAATTTGCTTCTGCAAATTTACAGATCTAACATTGTTGGGCTGTTATTTAGAAGAATTATATATATACTTTTACCTGTATTATGTATAGGAAAAATTTTAATGGGCTGGATCAGTGAACGAAATGGTTATTTCTGGTATCTTCCTCGTTTCACTCAATGTTGACATTCTTTTCTTCTTCATAAATGAACCACATACTTAACACATGCCTGCCCGTCTCCACTTCAGGTCAAACTAAAGGTTGCATAAACAGAGGCCGACTTAACAAAATTTAAAAGTATGGCCAATAAGGCCAGTTAGAGGGTAAATTTACTGGCCCAGATCAAATAAAATTTGCCCTAATAATTCTATCTAACATGTCTAAGTGAAAATATAGTCAAATGTAATGGCCAATGGGGCCAGTAGTCTTTATGTTCAACTGGCCCTATCGAAATTCTACTGGCCTTGGGCTAGTGGGCCAGTGCTTAAGTCGACCCCTGCGATAAATACAGATTTAAATGAGTGAATTATTGACTTGCAAAATATAATAATTCAGCGATGTTTTTTAGCCTATTTTTACAAATTGAAGCAAACTGACTGCTAATAGCTAAATGTTACATCTACGTTTAACCTGAATAATTCAGTCCCTGCTCTTCTTGCAACGGCCTGAATTCCTAACACGATAAAAACTCTTCACGAATCCTGGATTTTGATTGGTGCCCTATAGAAGAGGTGACAATCAGCAATCACCTCAATTTTATTGAGATATGTAAATCCAGAGCTAATTGTGAATGATTGACTGAAGATTTTTCTTTGTCATAGATCAGCGCAATATAACGACTGAATTAATCGGGTTAATCTAGGTTCCCCTTTTATAAATATTTGAAACAAATGAAATCATATTTTGATTTTTTTTGTCTAATTCGTAGTTAATGCCCCTTAAGTGGTAATTTTTTGCATTTTAGGCAAAATCTAATCCACTTTGGGAATGGGATAAAGAACAAATTGCCTGGAGTCAGCATTCTTAATGATTTTCTTTGTTTGGAGAGAGTTGTTTTTGTTAAATGATCGATTAGCAAAAACATTCCTCCAAATTACTGTATTTAAATATATATGGTTGTTAATTTTGAATTAGATTTGAATGTGTTAATATAAAAATTAGGAGATGTGGTATGATTGCCAATGAGACAACTCTCCATTAGATAGCAATAATAGGCAACAGTACGGCCTTCAACCATGAGAAAAACCCATATCGTATAGTCGACTATAAAAGGCTCTGACATGAAGAATATGAAACAATTCAATTGTTTAATTTATAACAAAACAATTTACGAAAAACAAATATTACGGACATGAACCAATGACATCATTGAACTACAGGCTCCTGACTTGGGACAGGCAAATAAAAAATGTGGCGGTGTTAAACATTTTTGTGACTGCTCAACCCTCCCCTAACCTGGAACAGTGGTGTAACAGTATAACATAAGAACAAACTATAAAAATCAGTTGTAAAAGGCTTAACTCATCAGATGGATTTAAAGCAGAAACATCTAACGAAAACACAGACTGGACATGGCAGCATATCTATACATCCCACTACAAAAAAGACACTTAAGTAAAAATCTGAGAGTACTCGCAGTTACTGGCAGCTAGTTCAAACCTAATCATGCTAATAACAACGAATAAACATGATAAAAAAAATCATGTATCTAAGACTAAAATAGTCAAGTTTGCATATAAAGTACACCTGGCTTTGCGGTCATAAAACTTTCGAGCATGATTATTATACTGAGGCTCAGAAATCAACCAATCAAAATACTGTATTTGGTATTTCGTCAACAAATCTTGTACATTATGTACTCCTATAGTACTGAGTAATGTTTTATGACCGATAGCCCTGATATGCCATCTCAAAATAACTTTTATTTAAAAAGCGATTTTTTTTTCCTGCTACATGTATGAACATGATAAAAATTAAGGAAACACAAATTTTGAAAAGTTACTGATGATATAGCAGCCCATAATGTCCATTGTATCAAGGATTTGTATATTTATGATTGTCTTTAATTTAGAGGGAAATTTTTTTTTATGATGGTGGTCATGGTTTTGCCTAGGAACAAGTGATTTCTGTCTTATTTGAAAAGAGCATAAAGAATGAAAATTCATTGAAAATTAAAGGGGACTAAAAGTTGGAATCAAAATTTCCAATTTAATTTTTAATTATGAGAAATTTCAAAAATGAATGTCTTAGTTAAAAGAACCACAATTTGATTTAATATATATGTATAAACATGACAAGGAATTATTTGAATCTGGAATAATTTTGAATTCCAGAAAATTGGTTAGAAATGTATGATGAAAACTAACCCTACTAAATAGGGTAGCCATGCACACATGGCTAAGGGGGGTTGGTTAGCTCCTACTGAAATATCAGTGAAAGTGAAATTAACCTTAGCCATGCATACATGGCTGACCCTATTTAGTTGGGTTAGTTTTCATCATACATTTCTAAACAATTTTCCAGAATTCAAAATTATTCCAGATTCAAATAATTCCTTGTTATCTAATATTGGTAAAATATTCAACACATCCAGATTTATGTAAATCATCACAGTTCAATAGTTTTTAATCAATAAATCCAATACCCCTCCTTCTGACCCTCCTGTAATTAATGAAGAGCATCTGACAGTAATTAGAAGCATGTGAGTCTAGTCTGATCAGGTGATTGACACATATCTACAGTGTATCTATATCTGATCAGAGATGGTATGGGTGGTGTTGTTGGTGTTCTACTAGCAAATTGTGGTGAAGTAAGATTTCTCACATTTTTTTTCACATCCACCAATTTTAATTTTTTTTCTGTGTTTGAAACTTTCCAGTAGAACATTTTGAAGTGAAAACATAAATCTATGTATTTATGATCCCAACCATCCACCCATTCAAAAGTGATGTTTTATTTTATTGAACCATGTTGTATATATACATGTACATGTAATGATGAATTTTACCACTAGACTGACTACCATATAACATGTATAATGTTGATAATACAATATATATTTTGCTATTTATTAATCAGTGAATATATCATAAGGATTAGTTTTGTGTTATTTTTTTTTGGGGGGGAGGGGGGAGGGTTAAAACGCTTTAAATCAATTGATCTTCGTGTGTTTTGACAAAATGATGTATCATATGTTTTAAAGTACACATTAATAGATGCCTTTTTGTTTTTGTGTAATTGTGTTGCTGCCTTAAAATAATTTGACTTGTATATATAACTCACATCTTCCTTTTATTTGCAATGATATTTGAATTATATTTTTGTTGATATTGGCTTAGATTTTACAGTTGTGTAATCTATCAAAGTCAAACTGCAATCATACAATATATATATATATATACAAAAATGTAGCATAACATACATACCTGTATATATGGGATGTATGCAGTTATATAAATTTGTCAAAAGACATGGAATTTGAAGGGTTAACTTAAGCGGCTGATCATGAACAGCCATTTAACATAAACAGAATATGTACATGTACAATAGATATAAGAAGATGTGGTATGAGTGCCAATGAGACAACTCTCCATCCAAGTCAAAATTTATAAAAGTAAACCATTATAGGTCACAGTACGGTCTTCAACACGGAGCCTTGGCTGACACCAAACAGTAAGCTTTAAAGGGCCCCAAAAAATTACTAGTGTAACACCATTCAAACGGGAAAACCAACGGTCTAATCTATATAAAAAACGAGAAACGAGAAACACTTATGAACCACATCAACAAACAACAACTACTGAACATCAGATTCCTGACTTAGGACATGTGCAAACAAATGCAGCGGG